CCAGAATAATTGAGTTTATTAAGAATAATCGAATTATTCGAACGGGCCACAATCGTTCATATGTTGGAAGTAGGTATGAATGAAGACTGTCATGAATTGGTGTGTGGATTGTCTAAAAGAGTATTAGACATAAGCAAATGTTTGCTGCAACGTTCATGAGTGCTTATGAATATGATTTGAGCATTGGATTAAACCCACGCTCACTTGGATCACTATCTCGAGTGATTAGTGAGACAATAACATCTTATATTTTTGAAACCGAGATGTGTGAGTTGTATCTTGCTAATCGGTTGCACATTGATAATATGTAAACGCACTAGTAACTTGGTGTTATAAAACATATTGTTGTGTGTGATTTGGTTAGTGAGTGCAAGAAAACATTGTATCAAAGTTTATCCGTTCCTTTTATCCAAAGAAGGATAAAAGCGATATCTTTTGGGCCCCTCGATGGTTTAGTGATGACATACGTAAATGCTCGGCCGGGCTAGGGCTAATTTGATTTGTTCAATTAGTTTGTCGTCATAAATCGGAAATCGAGATATAGTACAAAGAGAATGATTTGAAATCATATCTCATACGATATCTAGAATGGAGGAATATATGATCCCTTATCTAAGGACACGCGTATCTGATATGATCAGAGTTGACAGCGGCTTTGGAAAGCTACGATTGCAGATCGGGATCTGAAGTCATACGCAAAATAGTTGTTAGACTTATCCAAGTGGGAGACTGTTGGATTAGTGTCTAAGTCCATAACTATTTTGGTATGTACTTGACCCGATGGTGCATGGTCCTTTTGGGTTGCCTTCACCAAAGCAACTTGATATGATGAATTATGGAGAGTAAGGATTAAATATGATTTATTAATGTATTATGAGAATAATATATTAAAGGAGAAATCATATTGTTTAATTAATATTAGTCAATAATTAATTGGTAATTAGTTTTGTGACTAAAAGAGATTAATTAAACTTAAGGGACTGGAATTGTAATTATAGGATAATTGCAATTTGGGCTATGGATTGCCTTGTATTAAGGGATGGACGAATTCTAATGGGAAACCCATAAGGAAATCGTCCATGGGCTTATTTAAAGGAGTCTATGGGTTGCTTAGGGCTTAAGCATCCAAATTAGGGTTTCCTTGTTAGATAACCCTAATAGCCCAAATATATAAAGACCCCTTAAGGCTAAAAAACGTGGCTAATGTTCTTGTAAGGGTTTACACACGTTTTTGGCAGCCTCCATCCTCTCTCCTCTTCATCCTCTTGCTTATGGTGTTTGTGAACCATTAGAGGAGTGACATTTGTGACTCTAAGCCTTCCAAAGTCACTTCAAGGAGATTTGGGATTGTTATTGCTACATAACAATCAAGGTAACATTATAAACCTATTCTCATGTTAATATGATTATATGTATGCTAGAATTAGGGTTTATAGTCTTGGATTCAAAGCATGTACAATAGAGAAACCTAGATCCAAGCATTAGGGTTTGTATGAGCACATAGGATGTCTTATGACCAAAACCCATCAAGGGTGTGAACGCATGACGCATAGGTAATGGAAATGTGTAACGAAGGACATGATCATTGGCTATTAGTAATTTACCATTTATAAAGAGTTACAAGTTTACAACACTTAAATTGATAAATAAAGAATTAACCATGCAAAAAGGAAGATGGTATAAACAATGATCTACTTTCAAAGCCGTTTCACCCTTGGCATGAAATGGGCCCACGACCCTTATCTAGGAAAGGTTAGATTTTTTAGAACCGGAAAATTTTATTAACGGAACACTACCCAACAAGTTGCTAGGCAGGTCGTGAGAAAAAAAATAACATTACAATTTAGTTTGGTTTACAATCAATTCAACGGACAAATACACCATTCGGCCCAATTTAAACAACAATTGACTCTCCTGTGTCTAAGCCAAGTGAAAACGATGGACTTAACACTATCAATGATCTGGAAATGGGAGGTTCGTTTGTTTTTTAATACGCCTTCACATCTTGTTTTCCATAATATCCATAATGCACCAAAACAAACACAGATTAGGTTGTTTCTCCTTCTCCGACATCTCCCCTATGTTTTTACGAATTCAATCAGTTCCCCGATGGTTTGAAATTTCGGTTTCGAAATGTTGCACCATTTAAATATCAATTCCCAGATATTGCTCGCCACTGGACATCGTATGAGAATGTGCTCCGCATCTTCATCTTCAAGTTGACATTGGGGGCATGATGCATTTAGTATCTCAACTCCTCTCCTTTTTAATGCCAGATAAGACGGGATGCGTCCCACATTAGCTCTCCAGATAAAGGAATTGACCTTTATGGGGATTTCATGAATCCATGGGATGATAACTTAATTTGTTGTCGGTTCAATATTATCGAGTTTTGATCTAATTGCCTCAACAAGGAAAATACCATCACCTGATAGAGGACAGATCCAAGAATCTGGATCTGGAGATGGCCGATGTTCACCAATGATCTCGTACAACAGCTGAAGGCTATGGCTCTGCTCATCCATTGTAGGGGGTGATCTCCATTCCGACGAATAACCACCTGCTTGCACTCGTTGACTAACCTTGCAACTTTTACGCTTTTCAAGCTGATACAGTTCTGGAAGTTTATCCTTTAAAGGTTCACCATCACACCAAGCGTCCATCCAGAATAGGGTATCGTTGCCATTCTTCACGTTTTTCTTTAGGATGTCTCGAAAGCTTATCCCAGCTTGGGATAAATCATTCATCACCCCTGCAATATTGTTCCACACACCTGCAATAGTTCTTTTTGATAATACGTTAGCAGGTTTATTGTAAAGATTATGAATACCAGTAATTACTTTACTCCACAGAGCTGATTTGTTTGTTTTTAGTGCCCACCACCATTTGACAATCATTGAAATGTTGAAGGCCCTGAGCGATCCAAGACCAAGACCCCCCAAGTCCTTTGGGCTAACAATCTTTTCCCACGACACCCAAGCAATTTTAAACTTGTTGTCGCACCCATCCCATAAGAACTGTCACCGATTTTTTCAAGAATCTCAATAACTCCCACCGGGGCCACAAATATAGAGAAATAATACGACGGTAAACTGCCAAGGACTGCTTTGGCTAATGTTAGCCTTCCTCCAAATGACAATGCTTTCGATTTCCAAGGCGAGAGTTTAGAGTATATGATCACTTGCTCTTGTAACTCTAAATGTGATTTCATATTTATTGATTTACTTTTATGATAATCAAGTTTCGTAACTCTATGCATACCTCAATGTAAGTAATTATTGGTTCCTCGTTGTAATTGACTTTCTTATGATTTTATGGTACTTTTCCCGAGCTATGTGGCGCATCGATTTCAAAATTATTATCACTTTTGTATCTTTATGTGTATTGATTGAACGATAATGCAACGTTTCCCTAAATTTGTAGGCAATCCACTTACTTCCCATGAGAATTGGTGGTTATAACGAACCTCTAGTTTCCCTCTTTTATAACAGATAAGTACTGATATAATAATGTACTTCTAAATTAAAAACATACCTTAATTCTTTACCTTGGGCAGCTTCCATTTCGAATCTTTATCATCATTTATTCACTAGCACTAGATACGTCAACTGATAACAAATAAACCTCTTAACGATATTCTTCACACTTTTGAATTAGAAACGTGTAACCCCAACTCACACATGTCATTTCTAGTATATATAATTTTTTTTTTTTGATAAATCAAGATTACATAATATAAAGTACTAAAAGAATACTGAAGAAATTGATACAAGCGTATGCATATAGTTGGAGATCTGATACAAGTGGTCGGGAATGCAAAAAAGCCAAGAATACTAAATTAATCGATATTACAAGATTATAGAGTTTTTTTAATTTCTCTTTTTTTAAAGGTGTGATGAAACCAACATAAGTGACACTTATTTATATCGAGTCTAGAGAGATATGGCCAATTAATATGGTTAAGAAAAACGCTTAAGAAAATTGTTATAAGTTATATAATTATATAATTACTTATATATTAGATCATTCCATTTTTATAGAAGAGTGTTTTTTTTATTTGACAAATACTGATTATAACAAAATGTAAAAATAATCAATCTTAATATTCAAAAAAAGAATTCCAACTTTACATTTTACAGTTTCATACTTTCATAAACTGGAATCAAAGTTCTTCTCCAATCACGTTAACATTTGGAAACGCATATTTAAACGGGAAAAAGGCGGTAACATTCGCTCCCTAAATTCCGGAATTTTCTTTTGGCTCGGATCCCTGTTTCTCCCGTTATACATCTCTCCATAATCTTTCTCTAAAACAGAACGAGCTTTCATATTCCCAATCAGTGATTACTGATTATTGCAGATGTAAACCAGTTCTCTCGAATTAAATTCAGTTTTTTTCTGAAAGGTTAATCAAATCCTCAACTCTTCTCTCTTAATTTTGGTTTCAATGATGTTCATTTTCATTTGTTGTGAAGGATCGAATGCTGATTGCCTGATTATGTTAATACTGATTTCAGTGATCCACTTCATTGTTGTTATTTTCGTTATCATTATGAATTTGCATTGTAAAAAACCAGTTCCATGAATTCACTCAGTGATATTGATCTGCAGGGATTGCAAATTCAATTCAGTGCAAAGCTTACAGATAATCAAACTTTTTGATTAACTCCGAATTGATGATCAAGAATCATTTGAAAACAATCCAGTCAATCAAGAACATAAAACAGAGTAGAAGAAAACAACCCATAGAACACCAAGATTTATACACGGTTCAATTCTATTCAATCGATTTCTTATCTACATCCACCGAAACCTCTGTTATTTCTTTCTTCTTCTTCTTCGCCTTCAAAACAATTCTTGTTTCATCTTGCAGCCACAATATACAGAGCATATACAGAGAAATAATCTTCTTAAGACTAACAGAATTTGCACGGAGTTGATCGCTGGGTATGGAGGGGGTAGAATCAAAATCACAGTCACAAGGGCAGGATAGTCAGATTATGTCAGAAAATTCCAAATGCCTTGCAGAAAATGTAGAAGGTAAGATCTTTATGGAACTTGAATCATTACATAATCTTTCTTTCACGATACAAATCAGTTATCGTTCATTTCAATCTATATACTAATTGATCTTCAAATTTCTGGGAAACTAGGGTTCCAGCAATGCGTCAAAGAAATCCATAACCAGATCGAACAAGATGAAAATTTCTTCAAAATAATAGCCGAATTTTACGATAGCAAGAAATTGAACATGGAAAAACTGGTTAGCGAGTTATCACGCATGCATGGGGCATTGGCTGATCAAACTGTTGATTTGATTAAAGAAGTGAGCAAGAACACCCTCAAAATTACAACGCCTATCAAAACACAGCATGTTGATTCTTCTACTTCAACCTCTACTCAAGTTACTCAAATGATTAAAACACCCGAATTCATGACACCTGTTGGTTATGACTTTATTTTGGACACAAGTGGAGGTGGTTTTCAAATTTCTACAAGAGAAGGCACAGAATCTTCCTTCACGTTATCATCAAATTCCAATCAGTCAGAATCTTTCATGTCCATCAACAAGAATCTAAACCCACCAGTCAAGAATGATGAATCGAAGGCGAAAGAAATCAAAGTCCATGACCCTGAACCTGAGGCGTTACTCAAAAAGATTTCAACTCTTGAAAAAGAACAGTTCAGCTTGAAGAAAAAGATTCAGTATTTACGAGACGAAAATGCCCTTCTTGAAGCTGAGAAAGCTAACATGGATGAGCTTAAACACATGGTTAGCGAGTCTAATCGTAAGATTGAAACAACGGGAAAGGTGTTAGAGGTGTACAGAAAGCAATTATTAACAGCAGACGATGAAACTACAAAGCTGAAAGAAGAGCTTGCTAGAAAAGTTGTATACCAAACTCAGTTGGTGAAGAAACTTGAATCAATTGAGGAAGTTATATCGATGTTAACTGGGAAATTAGATGCACAGGAAGCCAGGGAAAGAAAATTGCATGAGCAAGTAAAGTTAAGCCTTGCTGGTATATCAAAGCGAGATGATGTAATCAAAGAACTGAGTACCCAGATTGATCTGCTCAAAAATTCTCATGCGACTGAAGAGGATAAATGGAATCCTGCTATTGAAATGTTGAAAACAGAACTTAAGGAAAAGTGTGAGTTAGTTGATGATCTGAACAAGAAGCATGATGCTCTAAAGATATGTACAGATGAACTGAAACTGAAACTGAAAGGTGTGGAATTGGATAGCGAGAGGGAAGTGACGTCTGAAGATGCAGTTTGAAGATCTTGTGTAAGGAAAATGGATGTGTGTGTTTGGCGATGTAAATACAAAGAATATGGGTTGCAGTTGTAAATAAAGTCAAATGCTGGTTTGACTTTAACCATGTAGATGTGTATTTTGAATTTGAGATTGACTTAGTCTCATTAGTTTCTTCTTTGTTTCCTTGTGGACGGATATACATACACAAAGCAATAAAAGAAGCCAGTTCATGGATTCAATTTTTTTTCTTTTGGTTCTAATTTCTTCTACAAACAGCCTAAAAGTAAACCGAGATGCAGTTTAAATATTTTGTTTTGGGGCAAGGAATGTGTCGGTTTGTGACCTAGATACAAAGTATGGGAGTTGGTTGTATATAAACGTCTGTGTTGTTTTTTTACAATAGAAAAAAGAAAGAGTAAATTACTGAAATCGTCCCTATAGAAAAAAAAAAAAAAAAAAAAGTAATTTTTTTTTCACTCGGATCGTCCCTGTCATTTGATTTTGTTGCGTTTTTCGCCCTTTACATACATAAAGTTAGGGACCAAACATGCAATTTTGAGCAAACCATAGAGACGAAAAACGCAACAAAATCAAACCATAGAGACGATCTGAGTGCAAAAAAAAAAAAGTTAGGGACCAAACATCAATTCTCGATGTTCTTTTTATGCACACTCTCGGTTTAACATATAGTATGACTTTCGTTTAGATCGCTAAGGCTAGAAAGTATTTTATCGTAAATTCACTTTTTATGTTTCCCGGTGTCGGACTGGTTTTGCCATAAAACTTCGACGGGTCATAACTTCTTTGTTATAATTTCGGTTTCGACGTTCTTTTTATGTACGAAACCCTTGTAACATATACTAAAACTTGGTTAAGATTACTCATTCTAAATAATATTCCATCAAAAACTCATTTATTATGCTTATTGTCTCTAAATTGATTAGCCCAAATCTGTGAGCATTACAAATGACCATTTTAACCCTGACTCCACATGAACCAAGACTGAGACCCAAAAGATCCACAAAGGCCCACTGATGGCCCAATTTTCCAAATAAGGCCCAACCCCATATGGACCTTATCCTAAGCCCATAATTTTCCTTACTACAATTCAGATTACCATCAAGCACCCATTGGGACAAACTTGGTCAAAAACATAAATTGAAAGTCAAATCAACGGTTCAAGTTGACCCAACTCGTCGAGTTTCTCCATCAACCGCATATATTGGGAAAAACCAAGTCAACTCGTCGAGTTGACCACAAACTCGCCGAGTTCCTCTATCGATCTGAAAATGTTGGGGAAAACCGAGCCAACTCGCCGAGCTTATCCAACAAACTCATTGAGTTCTCCAAAAACCCACATCTTAACACATTAAGCACTTAATCCATGAGGAAATGACTCCCAAACATAGATCTGACTTCCTTGAGCTGGACAACCACATAAAGTTGCCAACTTTACATTCATGCATGTCTAAATGAAGCTCTTAAGCTTGGAATGGACTTAATAGATGAATTAATGCATGCATAACACCAAAATCCTCATAAAGTTTGCACCTTTAAGCTCAAGGGTACCAAAACCAACTTAGATCTGAAGGAACAACCCCTAAAATGACTTTACTCCATCATCATCCCCCAAAAGAGGCAAAGACACAACAAAAACCAAAATAAGGAGATCTAATCATCCATAAGTAAAGGTATGAACTTTATACCTTAAAAGTGACTGCAATAAATGGAGTGATTTTGGATCTAAGACTTCATTCTCCAAGCTAGAAACATCAAGATCTTCTAATTCCTTCACAATGCACAAAGAACACTAAACTTCGTTACAACGCTCCAAAAACTTGACAATAAAGGCTACAACTCGTTTTTGGGTTTAGACAACAATGGAGGCTAATAAGGAGGCAAGAAGAAAGACTTAAGGACTTTAAATAGTATGTGTGACATCCCCAATTTCACGGCCAGAAAAGACCGATTTGTTTATGCTTTTTTTTTTTATAAATCAGAGTGATCGTTTAAAGAAAACGGTTGCGGAATTTGTTCCCAAAATAAAATATGATAACCATTTATCAAAACATTTCTCGAAAAGAATGTATTTTCATTAAATAATAAAAACTCGGGATGTCATGTTCGTTACAGACCAAAAGCATAAACAATATAAAATAGACCTTACAATAGTTATTCAACTACTGATCTATAATCTAAAATCTATCGTCAAGTCCACCAACTTATACCCTTGTGTCATTACCTGTAATGAAAAGAAAACTGAGTGGGTCAGGCTTGGGAGTCTGGTGAGCATATAAGGTTCTCAACCCACAATAATATAATTATTATATGTAATCAGCAAACAATCAACCCAATTACCCATCCCCATTATCTTCTTAAGGTTTTACCCTAAGAACCAACTATCATTCATTCATTTATTCGTAAGGAATTTGGCATGAATTCCATTGCTGCCAAAGCTTATTTATCAAGTACTAAATCCATAGTTATCTGGTGCTAACTCCATAGTCGCCAAAGTTTACTCAACATGCGCTAACTCCATAGTCGCCAAGGTTCATCAAATAGGCACGAAGTCACATCGTCGCCAAGGTTTATACAATAGGCGCTAACTCCATAGTCACCAACTATTCCATCTACCTATATTCTACCCAACAATTTTGTAGATATAAATACTTACACAATTTAAATCATTTAACACCTGTATAAAACTCCAATTTCCATGCCCATCTCAAATAGACAAATAACATATAAACACATAGCACGTATTTCATAGCAAATACGTCATATTTATGTGTTAGAAGAAAGTAACTACACACTCACACATATAAACAACAATAAACTTAATACACTCAAACCATACTTGTATTATTATCGTGTTTATGAAAGGTAGTATACACTCACTTGATCAGAAGATGATCGGACAGCACTACGACTTGCAGAAGTAGTATTCTTCGGTAGATCTGGAAGATCTCCACAAAAATCGAACTTCTCACGGGCAGAGCTTCGGCTCGGGAACCGCACTTCTCGGGATCTTCGGGATCTCGGGACTTGCTTCGGGGCTCGAGAATAATACCGAGGCTTCGGGGTATTTCTGGCACGCAAATCGATGCAAAACGGGAAAGAGAAGAGAGAAAATGAACAAAAGAACCGGCTGCCCTCGCATCCTATTTATAGGAGGCTGGAGCCTCGGAGTACGCGGGGCGTACGCGTCCGAATTCGTCACTGCATGCATCATCCGAAGAACTCGAGTGCGAAGGTCGTCATGCTTCGCTGTACGCGGGGCGTACCCTCGGATGAGTCCGATGACTCACCTTCGGATAATACCGGGATTTAATAATTAAATTTAATTATTAATTAATTAATAAACTTCGAAAATTCATATCTTCTTCATACGAACTCCGTTTTCGACGTTCTTTATATCCACGCGTAGGTGAGACTACGCTCTTCGACTTTCGTTTAGACTCCGTCGGATAATTTTGACTTTTATTTTTTTATTATTTATTTTTAATAGGTCGGAACAGAAATTTTCGTTATAAATTCATAACTTCTTCGTCCGACGTCCGTTCTTGCCTAACTTTTCGTCGTTTCGCTACTAACAACGAGATCTTCGATTCTCATTTAGATCGCTAAGGCTAAATATCACTCTAACGTAAATTCACTTTTTACGTCATTCAGCGTTGTGCCGGTTCTGTCGCGAAACTTTAACAAGTCATAACTTCTTCGTTATAACTCGGATTTTGGCGTTCTTTATATGCACGGAAACCGTGTAACATATACTAAAACTTAGTTAGGATTATTCATCCTAAATAATCTTCTATCAAAAAGTCATTTTTAACGCTTATTGTCTCTAAATTGACTAGCCCTGATCTACGGGCGTTACAGTATGCAAGACCCTAAAAATTTGGGTTTTCTTCCCAGCTACCAACTCGCCGAGTTGAGGCTCCCCAACTCGTCAAGTTGATTCATTAAACTCTCACGATCCATCCATCTTCAACACGACAAGTTGATCCCTCCAACTCGTCGAGTTGACCTAGAATTAGGGGTTTTCTCAACAATTCCTCTTCAAGATTTCGAATGTTACAGTTTGTGTAATATTAAAAAAAATGTTTGTTTAGTAAAATAAAGTAATTAAATTAAATTAAAAAAAGAAAAAAAAAATAGAGTGTTAGGAGTGTTACCACTCCTTACCAAATATTAAGATTATGTGATAAATGGAAGAAAAAAAATGAGGTGTCACTCAAAAAACTAACATTTCAAGGTGTTATGAATGTTACCACTCCCATTAACTTAAATTGAAATTTATGTTGATTAATGTCTGGTTTATGTCATATTTATCTTTATGAAGGTTTAGTTGGCAACCATTACCATGTATGTGGTGTGCTATGGCATTGAATAAGATTTATTTTGTTAACATGGGCTAACATTGCAATGCCACATCAACATGTCATTTTTAATTGAAAAAAAATATTGTTTTAGGTACAGTAAATAGACTAGGGATAAGGAATTTCTTCAAATGAAATGGTGTGCACATATCTTGAACTTGATTGTTCAACAAGGATTAAAAGCAATTCAAAGTGGGGTAGAGTCTATTTGTGAGAGTCTTGTTTATTGGACTGCCACTCCAAAGAAAGTGGAAACTTTTGAGGAATCGAAAGATGGATTGTCCGTTTCAAGTAAAAAAAAGTTAGTTTTGGATTGTAAAACCAATTAAATTTCCAATTATCTCATGCTTATGAGTGCAATTCTGTACAAGGAGGTTTTCAATCACCTTGTACACACTGATAAAAACTACAAACAAGAACCTAGTGATCAAGATTGGCTTTTGCAAAAAGTGATGTGTGAAAAACTCAAATTGTTTTACAGTGTGATTGAGATATTTTATGGAGTAAAATATCCAACTGCTATTTTTTTCCCAAAATTTTGTGAGGTTCGGATGTTGCTCAAAGAGTGTCTTACATCACCTTATGCGGAGATTAAGGCAATGGCTACCTGTAACGACCCGTTCCCGGTATGTTAATTCATTA